TGGGCATGAAGTAAACTCTCAGGGGCTTATTGCACCGCAAGAAACTAAACATCTCTGAAAGGAACATTTTAGAAATCAATATTTTAATTTGCTTCACGAAACCCAGTTAAAATCCAGCATCTCGAGATGAGGCTACTAGGGCTGGATGGGCAGAAAAAAGCCATTGATTGGAACCTGGCAAATTATGAGGATCATCTACAGTTTCTAGTCTTTCTTTGACCTTTTTATGTGAAATTTGCCTTTTTGAAACATGTTAACAAATACATTTGGGTGACACTGAGCCCAGTAAGGAGGTCTGTAGAACATATTAGCCTACAAAATAGTCCCTCAATGCTTATTATTAAAGTCAGTGTGTAATTATATAACATAGTCAAGGCCCTAGTTCATAGTTGCCACTGGATATAATACATGTCTAACACAGTGGCAGGGCGTGGGGAAAACGTCCAAAGAAGCCAACCGTCCTCACAGACAACAGAGTGCAGTACCATGTTTTCAACGCTTACCATGCAACATCTAGGGGGCGCTGTTTTACACATCATAAAATGCTCACTCAAAGAGAGAGGAGGAGACGACAGTAAACACACTGATGCTCATCAGTCAGTTACAGCAGACCAAGTCAATGTGGCACTGTTCTAACCTGGGTAATATATTGGATTATTCTCTGTTCTTTGTGATGCTGCACACTACAGATAATTCTATGAACATAGTTTTTTTTTAAATGCACATACTTAAATACACCACAGTCGTGTACACATATTGCCAAGTCAATTTGAAATTTCTTTTTTTTCAGCCTAGAGGATTTCACAAAGCACTACGTGGATGCATTTAAATAAACAAGCCCAGTCTTTGTGTATATAAAAGTTTGATGATGTAGTTGTTGTAAAACATACAAACTTGTTATAAAATGCTGGCTTGACACAGTAAAAGAAAGCGTGTATTGTTTTGATAGAATCTACCTCCTGTTCAGCGGAGATCCTGTGAGGTCCGGCTCACGTCAGATTCCCCCGCCAGTTAAAGCCATGATATACTGATTAGTTCCTATCAGGCCTTTGATGGGGATGTGCTCAGTGAGAGACGTGGGTATCTCCTTGGGTATCTGAGTTATGTAAACTCACTGTTGAGGGTCACGACGTAACCGCTCCCCCCGTCCCCGATCCAAGGAGAAGGAGATGGTGGCGAAGCATTGGTGAGGAAGACCAGATTCCAAACACAGCCTGCAGATATTGTCAACACTAACTTTGGCAAAGAGGAAGTGATGTCAGGATGCCATGGCTTTTTTATACCTACAATCTCTCATCTTGCTGCAGGACACGCGGCGGAAATGTTGGTACTAGTTAGTGAAATAAGAATGTGAGGGTATTGATCCCATCACTGTCATCTGGCTGCAATGAAAAGGAACAATGCAGTGTGATCGTCAAGTCCAGTTCTGGAAACTTCTTGTCAAAGTGATCTTGTCAGTTAAATGAAAACAAGAAATAGCTCAAAGGAAGGAAGACATTGTTTTCCTTTTTTCATATAGTTACTGTAATTTCAGAAAATGCCCTATTTTGATAACCTGAACGCATCAAAATTTTTAATTTTTCAATTTGTCTTAGAACCTAGTGGCTTTGTAAGTGACAGCCATTATAACGTTTACAGGACATTTATGTGAATGGAAGACAGATGTAACTCTTTGCCAGTGGAACATGGAATTTACATATGGTAATATGGGCTGTGCAGCCTGTTAGGGGATAGACCTCGTCCTTAGTGGGTGATAGAAAAAGTTGTATTTGCTGTGCTGTGAAGGAATTCTAAAGTCGTATTAATAATATGCAAAGAAAAATATCAGGATTGGAAGTGAGGTGGGAAGCCAGACATAACTAAGTGGCATATAAAAAGCCAATAAAAACTCAGCAAACTAAGGCATGAATGCTTTCTTGTGCCACCAAATAGATTATGCAAGTAATCCTTTCAGTCAGTGATGGCCTGGAATTTGAGGAACCAGAGAAGGCCAAGTCATGTCAAGCCATCAGTTCCCTCTGCCAGGCTCGTCACAGTGCAGTCCCCGCTGTTTGTGATTGATGACTCTGGCTTAAACATGACCTGGACCAGTTAGGAGCCTTCCCAGCACTCAGCAACACTGAATGCTTTTTACTCACATTACATCACGGTAAAAAAAAGCCCGATATGTAACTTCATATCTGCTACATGTTTATATATGTGACACCAAATCAAGTGTAGACAATAAATTAGTTTGACTGAAGAACTGTCAGCATGTAACCTATATTCTGAACTAAATGGCTTCTCTGTGTTGTTGGTATGCCTTTTATTTATACGTTGAGCTTTGCAACAACATTTTAATATTACAAATGTAAATCCCTCATCCACCCTGAATAACAATTGTGTTGAAAGTCCCTCTAGGGCAGTGGTTATCAAACTTTTTCTACTCTGTACCACCTGAGAAAACATTGAGCTTTCCGAGTACCACCATGATGACCAACATTAGAATACAGCATATATATGAGTTTTCCCCACGTAACACTAGAGAGCGCTTGTGTAACACTGATGGTACGCGTACCACAGTTTGAGAACTTTAGGGTTTCTTTCTAACTTGTTTGAATAAGAGTGAGCTGCAGGCCTCAGGTCCAATTTTTTTCCCCCAAACATACATTTGAGCCTCTTGAACCTTTCTTTTCATCACTGATAGCACAAGTATGTTGTTTCAGACCAAATGCACCACCAGGGGGCCTCTCTTTAGGTTTATATAGAATACAAATCTAAATACATACACTTAACTGGATTCTCAAAACCAGGCAGAAACTAACAGGATTCTAGGTTGGGGGAAGACAAGGCATGAACAGCTAGGCACGAACAACACACAGCCACAAACATCCTGAACAGCCAACAACGACCCCATGAAGACAAGAGAAAGAGAGAGAGGCATACATACCCAGGGCTCCAGGTGACACCAGTGAGACTAATGACCAAGACACAGGTGAGTGTAACTTTAGGGTTGCCTCATCTTATTTATCTCTTTTTAATCTTATGCATCCTTATAATCTGTTCAAAAACTTCTCAGTCATTTTTGATGAGAAATCAAATTTAGAGATTGAAACACTTATTGACGATACTTATAATGTCATATAAAACAAAACAGTCTCAGTGGTAAAATAATATTAAATATTAATAGATCATTAGTAATAGAAAGAAACCTCATCTGATTTCACAGCAACAAATGTTATTTATTTACTAAATTTATTATCTACTGCCTCAAAATCTGGAAAGTTTTCCACTCTCCACAGAAGACACACGCAAGGAAGCATCTGTAGTCTTTCAAAATCTGTTTTATCATATTCCATGCTCCAAATTTGGTTTAAATAATGCAAGAATGACAAGCGATTGGCTACAGACTGAGCTACAGAAAGTGAAGCTGACAATGTGGGTCGACAAGTGAGACTGAGTGGGTGGTGCATTTCTGTCTCAGTGCATGTAGACCTATCTGAGCAGTGGGGGAAAATTGAAGTCTGAATTATCTACATTGTTTGAAATCCCCATCCCTCTGGTGTCTTGGCAGACAAGGCACAGGCTGGGTGTCCATGTGGGTGACTGTAAATGAAACATTCCGTGCTGGGTTCAGGACGAGGTTCCTCTTGACTCATCGTCCGTCACTGCATAAAAGTAACTGTGAAGATGGCCCTTCTTCTGTCTAACCTTCATTGACTTTTTTTGATATCCAGCAACTACACTGCAGAAGCCCACAGCATCTGTATGTTTACCTCAGTGATGATGATAAGGTGTGTCCTCAACAGATTTGATGACAAGGATTATGTTCGTGGTGCTCTTCCCCTGATGCATTTTTATACATTTCCTAAATGTTCCTAAATGAGGGAACTCCTGAGGGATTAATAAAGTGCTATCTATCTATCTATCTATCTATCTATCTATCTATCTATCTATCTATCTATCTATCTATCTATCTATCTATCTATCTATCTATCTTAAGAGGATTTTTTTCCTCTGCTTTTGATTCATATTAAAGTATACTGCAGGTATTGGTTCCCTAAGTCTGATATATTTTAAAAACCTGCTCTGTCACAACGGATTACTTCTTTTAGATGTATTTTTATTACATGTGCGAGTACTGCCCAGTGCAGATAGGAAGCAGCTCCACAGTGATAACAGTGTTTGTTGCTTTGCTCAAGAGGAAATGACTGCAGCTGCTGCAGCAGGAGATAGTAAATGTTTTCAGAGATATCAAACTGTGCAGTAAAAGCACTGATGGGCGAATCATAACTTGGCCTGCAGTTCCTAACTCCTAATTTGCAGGTGTTTATGTAACTAATTCCACATAATGCATTTTGGAGAGGAGTGAAAAGCGTTCCTCAGGGAATGAACAGCTCAGGTAGCCCTCACATTTGAAGTACAGCCTAATGGAAAGGCAAACACTGTGATTCCCAAGACCCCTTTACAGGCACAGCTTGCAGTGAGAGCGGAGTGGTGCACCTGAACAAGCGTGTGTTGACGTGTGGGGATGGATATTATCCGAATTTACTGCAAAATTACATGTGATGTCGTATAGAATTTTGACTGGCACACTATAAACACAATGAGAGTGTCGTTAGAGAAACAACTTTTTTTCCAACTGAATGCAATGATATTTTTCCTGATGCTGAACATCAGAATGATTCGAATAATTTCCCAACCATATTACTTTTCTGTATGCTTCTTTTTTATATGAATAAATTGAGCATTATACCTATAGAACTCTTATTTCAAATAACACAATTAAAGTTAATCTTGTCAATTAAATTTAATGTCAATTATATTCCATACCTAAAAGTTAAGGTTCTGTAAAATTTTCAAAATAGACCTTGAATGTTTTGTTTTACAGTTTAACAAGCAGTAAGATATACTAGTTATTATTAGTTAAGAAAGTCAGTTCACACCAGTATATTCTGTAGAGATTTGTATATATTATACATATATTTTTAAAGCATATTCATATATTTTAAAATGACTAATTTCAACATTTAATGTTTCAAACTTTTATTTAAATACATCAGCACACTTCTATGAATTATACTGGCTATTTGTACATTTTATCACCGTTCACATCAAAATGATGTTTTCTATGAATATTTTTTCTTCAGGGTTTGCCAGCACAGTTCTCTTCTGCTGCGGTGTGCCATGTCTCCTCAGGGACCACGGCTTTTGCACAGAGGATCTTTCTCTGCAGTACACGGGCCCTCTTCACTCTGTGTTGACTTAGTAAATTACTTGGGATGTCAGGGCCCAACCACAGCTTACCCTCAGAGGGGGGAGGATCGGGGTGGTTTGAGGGGAGGGTGTACGGGGGTTGGATGTGTCTGTGAGAAAAAAGGGTTGAGTAGATCAAATCAAGGGCAAAACAGAGCAATTTATCGACTTTTTCTAGTTTGTTTGTCAGGAATGAAACATAGAGATGTTCTGTTTCATGGTCGGACTGACACTTTCTGACATCTGCAACTGAGTAAAGTGGATAAAAACAAAACTGACAACAGAGTTGGAAAGAGCACAAAAGGGGAAAAAAAAGGCAGTGACTATAATTCAAAACATACATCACAGTTTTTTTGGACGTCTTTCATTATACAAATGAGTAACAAATGGAAAATTTGACTGTGTTGTTTTTGATGCCTTCTTCAGGTTTGTTTATGTAATTTTTTTTCTTGTTCCAGGTGGACAGAGGAGGCCGGTCAGAGTCCTGCAGGGCACGGGTTTGTGTGGTATGCACCGTGGCTGCTCAGGGCTGTCTGTGCTGCAGCCTGTCAGGAGAACAGACTGCACACCTGTGGCCTCTCTGCTCAGCCCTGTTTGCTTTGACACCTTGGATGCTGTCTCCTTCAACAACACATCTTTCACCTACACTACCCAACTCACCCCCCCGCCCACCACCTCCTTCCCCATCCCATTCTGTTATATGTTTCCAGAGGCCTTGAAGAGTCTCAGTGTTTTATATTTAACTTTCTTTCTTTTCTTCCTTTTTAAAATGTAAATTGGTTCAGTATTTGATCAAAGTCCTCCGTACTTCATAAATTGGACAGAAATACAATGCGGAGCAGGCTTTTAGTTTGATTCCTAAACTCCCAGTTCAATCAGCTCTTCAACTCACTTCCCTCACACTTCATTGGCTTCAGACATTCTTTTCTTTCTCTGAATCTTTCCCTCCACAATCACATTTTCCCCTTCATCTGTTCACAGATTACACTAAGCCTTTGATAGAGATGATGGTGAAGGGGGCATGGGAGCGATGGGGATGGAGGGTGGATGTGTGATTGTAGGTCAGGGGGTCACTGGCTCTGCAGGACCTGCCATGAAAGGATGTGACTGAACCCCTGGCCAAGTAAAGGAGGAAAAAAAGCTGTCAAAGAAATGCTTTGTGTGCGATCACTAAGCCATAGTAGTGCCACAATCGCCTTGTCTAATTTGTCATAACAAGCTTCGCGGTTTGTTGACATGCCTCATCATGTTTCGGCAGAAGGATTCATCACATGGTTGAACTTCTACGGTCTTTAAATAGTAGGTTGATTCATGGTCACACTATAGGTATGACACATGGTTGGGGTTGTACCTGGTAGTTTAAAGGTTTACCACATTATTGACATACTGTACATAAAATGTACATGATGGGCACACAACTACATTTGTCTTTTTTTAAAATCTCAAATAAATAAAAAAAACGTGATTAGCTGACACATTTTGGTGGCCTTAACACCTGTACATATCAGTAAGCTTTAAGATTCAAGGAGTGCAAGTATCAAACAGAGAGTTTACAGTTCTGTAGAACTAGATTTAATGTCACTACTACTATTTTTATTTTCCGTGAATAGTGACAGAGTGATAAATGATTCTGCCTCTGGGTTTTTGTGCTGTTATTCTGTGAATAAGTTACAGATACACTGCCATTGTCCTATGTAAAGAGATCAGAGTCAGACTCTTCCAGGGAAAGTACAAAGCCTTGCCTGGTGGTCTGCAAACATGCCTGGATGATCTGCCCAAAACAGCCTGGATGGTGGGGTGGCAGAGACACACCTGCTTTGTCAACACCGTCTCCCTCACTACTGTGGCCAAATGAAAATCCATCCTGTATAATCCTGAAGACTGTCAGGCACCGCAGAATTTATGCAGTCTGTGATTCATTATATGAAATTAATACTTAAAAGAAAGAGCAACGAATTTGATCCAGACCTGGAAATGTTTTTATTTCCTGTTGTTTGAACCTTGACAAGTCTGTATAAAAGATGAATGACTTCTGTCTTTAATATTAGCTGCAGATATAGACGGTGAAATGCATGTCACAGTTTAGTCCTTTGTTTTGTAAAAATATGTAAAAACATATGAAGTTCCTTTGTGCCAAAAATGACTGCTCTAGTTTATCTGATGGTCAAAGATTCATCTGGAAAAATTGTTAATAAAAACAGTTATGGAACTAAAACAGAGGGTGTACTTCAAAACATTTGACTTGGTCCTTAGAATGAACTGGTAGACAAGATGTTACATTTATTGGTTTGAACTTTTAATATGTTGCTTTAGACTTGTCATGATATTATGAACAATAAGAAAAATCAACAAATTATGAGGCCACAGGAAATAGTTCGGTTCTCTGCCCTCTCTGTCCTTAGTTTTGCCTAGCAACAGCTGGACTGGGCAAACAAAAAACTAAGAAAATACCGCAGCGTGTCAATGTGAGACATTTTATTTTGGTTGAACCACATTGAATCTAAATTCTGTTCATTATGAAGAACATCAACAAATGTTTGACATATTTTGGTTTAGTGAATATAAAAATAAAACATCCTTTCACCTCACATGTTTTGAAGAATCCGAAGTCCTTGATGTTGCTGCAGAGCATCCGCCTGGATGCCACAATGACCCATCTCTGTCACCTTTGACCTCTCAGAGACTGAAGTCCTGCCACCTGAGCAGCGTGTTGTCCCCTGGTGCTCAACCAATGTTTGGATAGACTACCTGCTTCTCAAAACAAGACATGACAGGGCAGGTCACCGAAAAGAGAGGAAAACAAAGAGTCAGATTTCACAGACACTCTATCAATCAAACATCTTAGGAGCAGAATCTCACTCACAGTATCTACAGGACTCCCACAGCCTTCTGAAGGACGTGTGTGAGGAGTCTGTTTAATGGGATTGTCAAAGCAGCACTAGTTTTTATTGTCCTTTGTTTCTATTTGACAAGAATAATAATAATAATGAGAAAAAGTAATAATTAACTGATTTCGTATGAATGCACCGTATAAATAATGCAGCAAAAATTAATCAGTTTTTTATGATTTCTGTGAAGTAATGCTTAACCCAACACAGCAGGCTTGGACATGCTGTTCTACATTCCCTAACATAAATTACAGCAGGACAAATGGATTTTCCTGCTGTTGTCTGTGTTACTAAATGCTGCCTCGTTTCCTTTGTGTACAAAGGTCCAATTTCTCATTAGTCAAATAAAGTTAGGGAAAAAACATTAGCAGTGATCATAAGTTTGCCAACAGTGTTATAAAGAACAGAAAGCACAGAAATCACAGAAAATCATGAAGCTAAAAAAAAAACAAAAACCCCTCAGCAGACTGTGTTTTAACAGCCAAAAACAAAAGTCAGTCACAAACAGCTGAAGCTATTAAAGGCCAAAACATACCAAAATATTACATACAAAAATAAACTTGAGAATTACTATAATAAAACTAAATGTTAATACATAACAGCTAGAAATTAGAATAGCTAAGTTAGAATAAGTTAGAATAGCCTTCAATTGTTACTCAGAAGCCAAGAGAAGAGTAATGGATCAGATTCAAATAGTTTATTTAAACAAAGTCCAAACTTAAATACCTCCAAGTCACAGAAAAACCAGAGCCAGGCAGGAGGTGATGGATCCAAAAGGAGAGCAGGGACAACAACAATAAACACTGAACAATGACCTGACAAAGACTGAGTGAGACTAACGAGCTGGGAATCACAGGGAATCACAGGTGACGGTGATAACACTGATTACCACAGAGCAACAGACAGGAGGGAAGAAAGAGAGACAGACATGATGATGTCATCGTACCAATGCAATGGTAATACGTAATGATATATATATATATATATATAAACTGTTAAATTCAAATGAAAAGTTAGCATTTACATCAATAGTTATGATACGATCTGTCCCCGGAAGGGATTACTTTGACTGTCCTCCTTGACAGGACTTGGACACCTTGTCCACTGGTTCTCCCTGACTCTCTCTCAGTCTCTCAGGACAGTCCCAGTTCTGCAGGTGGTATTATCTTTTCATGCTTGGACCATTTTGCTTTGAAACATTCCGGCGGTGATCTTTGTCCAAATTGTTTATTGATATACTGTTTGTCTCCTCACCCCCTCAGCCACCCTGTCACTCTCACCCTTCCACCCACCACCAGCCCGGTCTCGGCCGTGCACCTGTCTGCGGCAGGCAGCTGTGGGTGGGCGGGCCTTGGCTGACAGTGGAACATTCCAGAGGAGAAGTCACCCCGTTAATCCCTTGAGTTAAAGCCCGACGACCCCCCACCTCCGTCCTCACCTCCTTCCCTCTCTCCTTCACTACCACCGGTGCTTTTCATGCCCCAACCGTCCACCCGATCATTGCTTATCCTTCCTCGCAGCGTTCACTGTTAGTCCCGGTCAGGCTCAAAGGGATACTGCTCTGTCAAAGGTAGACAGTGTGAGAACCAGATTAAAAGGGCCAGTGCCCCTCACATGCACGGCCAGTCTCCAGCTTCCAGGCAGAGAAGTTTTAATCCCCCCAAATATTCAAGACTGAAAGTAAATATTATGTCCAAATCTACGAGCGGGTGTTAGAGGAAAAAGCCCCCCACTGACGCAGGACAAACACGTCACAGTAACCAGAGAAGGACTAATAGTTAAAGAATAGTTAATCACCACAACCGTAACAGTCAGTATATGTTCCAGAAACAAGATATCTGTTCGTTCCTGTGAGTGTTTAGTCATGTGACATGCTGAGCCCTCTGTGCTCGTACATTGATAACTTCATTTTTCATATTCGTCCCATCAGTCTTAAAGTATCATGTTATTTTCTCCTGTCTGATAAGTGGGATGCAAACAAGAGTCTCTTTAACACCCAGTGAAATTCTGATGTCAGACCAGATCTCCTCCTTGGCAGCTGCTCCATTCAGCTGGAACACATAATCAAGAAAAGCTGCAGAACTCACCCCGCGAGCACAGAAGACCATGTTCCCTCAGTTCTCCCTCAATTCTGCAAATTCTGGTTCTAGAGCATAACATTTTATTTAGTGCAGTTGTTTTTTTTTCTCTGCAGAAATTCACAAGAACAAGTCAAAAAGTTATCAGACAGTTTCAAGTCAATTTCAGGAGGTGTCCGATTTCAAAAACTAAACCATTTTAAGACCGCAAAAGCTTGGATACGTTTTTATCATTATATCTGTCAGTGACATTGGTTTGTTGAAAAAAATATTCAGTGAATCTGAGCACATGCTGTATGAAAACAGAGTTAAATAGACTGTAGTGAGTGTTGGTTGCCACAAAAATTAAGCTGATTACTGATTTGAAAAGAGTTTTTTTTTTATAATGCTGCAAATGAATCATTATCATCAACAATCTGGCTGTGCAGGGAGATGCCTAAGAGCCTCAAGTCCATTTAACAAACAAGGTTGTGTCATTTTGTTTTGCCAAAATGACACAAAAGAAATGGAGAAAAAAAATACCAGATGTCATTCCTGAGGCAAACCCAGTTAGAATCTAGGGACTAGATTCTAACTGGGTTATAGCTGGTTATGAACATCAAAATTGATGAAAGTGTGACTGCAGAGGCTGGGTCCAGGGGTAGATAATGGTGGGCTGGGTGTTTTGAAGGCCTACCCAGTTTAATTAGTTAGCTTTAAAGGTGCGAGTAGGCAGATTCTCTGACCTTTGGACAAAGCCAGGGATTGAGTTTAGTATTTATTATACAGACAGAAAAAAAAAAATATCAGGGCAACACGTCCTCTGGAAGAGTTCATTGACTGCATTTGGTGGCACTTTCTGGAAGGCTGCCATGTTTCTGCTGTTCCAGTGGAGCAGAAAGACAGAATCCCAGGATGCAAAATGTCCTCAATCTGTTTGTCCACAGACCAAAACCCATAAGGCCAAGGAGAACCCAGACCTGTGCTATTAAATCCCGGATGACTTTGGACAGGAATTTTGTCAAAGGTCTACAACCTGTGGGTCTGCCAGTGGTGAGACTGGGTAGCACCACTGGCCCAATAAAGCTCACAAACTCTGCCCACAAATCTCAATCAATGGTATCTTTGTGTCCAGGATGTGTGTTTATATACAGTATGAAAGACTGGGAGAAGTGAGGAAGCTGGACTGAGGAGACGGAGGGAGAGGACGTGGCCTCACTAATGGTGTGACAGTACATGTAACCCAGGCCAAAAATTTTGGATTCCGTTCTTCAGCAGCTCCTTCATTCCAGGCTTTAGTCCAAGACATCAGAGAAGGATATTGGGAAAAACATTGACTTGATTTCAGGCCAAATCGTAAAAGGTGTTTACATGTATCTCTCCAGCGATGGGAGCTGAAAAAACACGTGAAAAGATTTGGACATTGTCTTAGCTGAGGCTGGAGCCTCAGCATTAGGTTTGGCCTGGAGTTTAGGTGAAAGGTGAGAAGTGTGTTGAATGAGAAGAGCTGTGCTACCATACGGCTTCTGTGCTGCAGCACCTGTAACCGCAGCTATGTTCACAGATTACATGGCCGTTGTGGAAAAGCAAATGTTGTTTTGGGCATGGCTCTAACAGCACTGCAGGAGAAATGAGGCCGTATACATGCATGGACATTAGTGATGTTGCAAAACGATGTGGGGCCAAATTGTGGGTTTGTAATTAGGAGGCTGTGTTTGAGCCTGTGGTTTGGGCAGGAAATGAGAGACACTCAATGATTTTAGATCCACATAAAGCCATGGTTGGCGGCACAATTAAGAGCTGTTTTTCTGGGGATGAAAAAAAATGTGGAAATCCCTACTGCCTTAAGAGACTTAATTTTTCACTTGCTGTGGCTGTAGAAAGTGCTTAGAAGGCCATAGGTAATCCCTGGCTAACCCACCATCTTAGAGCAGACAGACATAATCTCCCCTCTGTGTTCCTCAGGGGTGTTAAAACCAGACCATTGGGCTGAATTATTTCACTAAGCGGAAACCGATGTGTTAATCATAAATTAGAGACTAAGCCTGAGTGAGCAGGTCAGTCTGAGGTCACTCCCCCGGCACTAAAGGGGACTTTCTGTGTGAAAAGCCGGGGCTTAGCACTTATTAGCCCCAACATAATCAGCCAGGAACAATGTAGAATACTGTAACGTGTCAAGGCTACACTAAGCTGAGAGTTGTTGAGAAATAAATCTATTAAATCCACAGTGACTCTTTCTTTGTACATTCATGTAAGAACGTAAACCTTAGACAAACACGATCCTCATTTGGACAAAAGTAAAACTGGATAAAAGTGCAATTAAAACGAAATTCCTTGTTCTGGTAATTCACTTACACCTTAATGCAGTAGAATAGGAGTATAATTTAATAAGCACTAAGAAACACAAACAAACAAACAACAGTTTAACTTTTTTCACTGACAAAAAACCTCAAAAGCTTTTACCTATATAAAAAAAGAGACAAATTAGAACTGAACCACCGTGACACACTTCTAGAGAGTCATCACCAGGTCCCACAGCCACCACAGCGCTAGTTCGTGTAGCAATTCAGCACAGTTATCTGGCCAGGTGCTTTTTCTGATGCAATGCAACCTAGAATTGAAGACAACATGGAATCAAACTCCAAACCTTCTGCACAACAAACTTAAAATCCCACCACTGCTCCACTATAGCACTTTACTGTCTTCCAGTGAATTCGGTTTTTGTTAGAAGTTTCATTAGAAGTTTTCAGAGTGAGAAAAGAAGAAACTATTTGGACATGGAGTTTGTCCACACGTTCACAGCATACCAAGTCTTTTAATGGACAATCATATGCCACGCAGCTGAGAGGAGTCAGTTTGTCAGTCTTCAACCTCTTGTAAAGAACAGAAATGAATACCATTCGTTTTTTTCTAATTTTAAAATCTTGCCTTTGGGCTGCTGGCATCCTGCCTCAATATTGAATGATACCAAACTTTGCTATGCATGACTAATACCTCGCCTCCAAACACGGAGGAATTTTTATAAAGTGCAAAATATTGCATAAGATGGTAAAGACGTTTTTATGGTTTATATAATGAGACTAGAGAAGAGTAATTGGGTTAGAGAGAAACAACGGAATTTACAGACCTAATTAAATGCCTTTGGCAAACTCAAAAAGCACACAATTTATTATAAAAGCAATCTTTATTTCTAATAAACAAAAATACATTGTTAACATGTTAGATGTTTTTTACTGATTTATTGTTTAAAACATTCATACAAACTGCTGTACAAAGCAGAGGAAGAGATTCTATTGTTCGAACATAAAAGACCTAAGTTGTTGTAGCAGTGAGTTTATCACCGCTAACGTGACCACAGAAGGGACGGGGAGCAACAACAAGTAGGAGCAAACAGAAAACTTATACAACTCTGAAAAGTACACTTTTTAGACACACAAAGGACACATACATTGTATGTGTTAAATCATTTTTGTTCGTCAGGACATAAAAAGCTAACTACATCATTCACAGATTCAGCAGTCTGTTTAAATACCTTATTTCTACAAAGTGAATTTACATTTCTTTTAAAGTACAAAGTGCAAATACTATGGTTTCCATTATTGCCCATTGGTGAGGACACATTCTCCTGCATGAGAGGAATTCTCAGACGTGGCCTTAGCCCTGCTTCTTCGGCTGATTCTGTAGCAGGAAAATGAAATGGACCCAGGTCATGTGATTTTATTTGGGGTTCCACATTAGTACCAATGTTTTGACCAAAGCAGTACAAATATATATTTCACTATCATTATATTTATTACATTTTGGTTTACTAACCACAATGTACTAAAGTGTTTTTACTAGGAAAACACGTTTGTTCATTTGTTATGTAATCACATAATTTTTGTGTACTCTCAATGGGGCTAATACTCGTGCTAGCTTCATTTGCTAACAAAAAATAACCACATAAACAACCTATGGTGACTTTCTATATATTCTTAGTTTATGGGAAATTTCTGTAGAAATCAGAGATGATTAGCCTTCAATTACGGATTTACTAATCTGTTTTGTACCATTGATGACAGTTTGGTACAGGTACTCCCCATATGAGGTCATCAGACGTCATATGGTCAGACTGCGCTAGACAGATAATGTGACAGAAAGTGCGGGGCTCCATTTAAATTGAACTAAAACCTACACGGGTGAACACACTGAAGGTATCACAGCTAGAAATGTGTAACCCAGACAAAGCTCAGACGACAACATTGTAAAACGTCAGATAGTGAGAACTGGATTACTTACTAGTTTACTGGAGGACAAACTGTCTCCTGGTTTGGCTGCGGGACAATAAAGAAGACACAAACATTAAGAGTCTTCCAAAGTAGTGACTCATTTCAAGATGCTGATAACTGACGATAGATAAATGTCGAGGGAGATTTGGTTGAGTTGCTCACCGTCCTCTTTGGTCACCCCAAGGCAGCCCATCAGCTCCTGCAGAGACAGGGCTTTGTCGTTGCTGATGTCACAGTACTCAACAAACTTCTTCACACACTTCTTGGGCTTGGATTTCTTACGCAGGAAGCGTTTAAATGGCTTGATCTCCTTCTTTCCAATATCCCCACTGGAGTTTTTATCCAGTTGAGCAAAATACCAATGGACCACCCTCTCCTCCAGGGTGTGACTAGGGTCAGGCTCAGCCATCCTAAATGACAAGGACAGGGACAGATGATATGATGGATTTGTGACAGGCCGCACACTAGACCATTTATTTAATACTTCCTTTATTTTTGTTAACTTTACACTGTTTAAATCCATCCAATCCATCTGCAGCCATGTTGGGGCCTTGGTCCTTTATATTAGTTCTAGTTAACCTCCATTTTGTTTTCCCCTGTTCTGTTAGCTGTGTTCCCTGTCTTCCATTTGTTTAGTCAACACTCAGTTTTTGGTGCTGTTCAGTTTTGATTATAGCTCTAGTTAGTTGACCTCTTCATCAAATCCATTTAGTTATTAACATGAGCTCCATATGGATCCATTTAGTTATTAACATGAGCTCCAAATGATTTGTAAGGAAAGAGATGAATATTTACAGTTTTTATAAAGGTCTAATAAATAGAACCTTAAGGATACATACTACACACTTAATTTGCAAATAACTGTACTTGTTCATATATATTTGAGACATACCTTCCGGCAGATGCTGGATCTGTGACAGCGTGCACCATGTCTGTCGACAAGGCATCAAGAACACTTGTCAGGAACTCTGTTTTCTTTGCCCCAGGACAACCTGGAAAATACAAATAAAATAAAATAGAATATTGAGAAGATGGAAATGTGTGATCACATGTATTGGTAAACACAAAAAGAAATGCATTACAGCTCTGCAAAATTGGCCTGAGAAGATGTCTGCGAAGGGACGTCATAACAGGCGGCGGAGATTCTTATGTGAAAAATATACCCAACGAGACTTTTACAGTTGTCTTTAACTCCCTATCATAAAGTGTCAGACCTCCCTCAGAAGGAACAGGAAGAGCGCTCCCTGCCACTCAACCTGGAGGCCCCCTAAGTGCTTTTGACTGCCTGTGGCACAATTGCTGAATATTGGATGTGGGAACAAGAGGTTTTTAAAGCACCTGAAATATCACGGCAGGTAAATGAAGTCCTGCTTTAGAGGATTTTTTCCAAGTGATGTCCAATCTCAAGATATGTATTATATACTGTATGTTATAAATCAATGGGAATCACAGCTAACCTTCAATAAGTGATTGCTTTTCTGTCAGGGCTGATTTGTCCATAACAATATAAATGTAATTATATGGAAAAGTTCTCTACAAATACCATGAGCAGGCTTCATTTCATGCAGGTAAAGTATGGACAACTGGAATACTATGACCTTAATGACAGTAACTGTCTGTTTGGAAAGAGTCCTAAGGTTGAGGCCAAGGTTGTTCTGGTAGAGTTTTATACAACAGAGACCCGAGAGATTCCTGGATTCCTCTCTGTAAGCTCCTCTCTGCTTTCTCACAGTCCAACTTCCTCATGTTATTCTGCCTGCAGAGAACAAGAAATTCTCAGCACTTTACTCCTCTTTTTATGACCCACGCCTGAGGGCCCAGATTCTCTTGTTGTAGAGATAATAGCATGCTTTGCTACTCTCTAACAGGTGGCGACCAGCATCGATGTGAACGCCCAGCCTCCACTGTGTGTTTCCCGAGCAGCACAACACTGAACCGAGCTGAAGAGTGAACCCGCACAAGTCCAAACTTTTCCAGTCTTCTTTAAATGCTGAACAGACTTGCACTCCAGTTTTAGTAGAGCCTCCCAGGCCTGAGCCCAGTAAAATATTCAACCCACCTGTCAATAGCCAAACTGGTGCCTTTGCTTGAGCCTCTTGTGGTAAATTAGTCTAGACAGACGCACAAACTGCAGCCTCTGACGGCAAAGTATTTTTATCTGGCTTCTGGCTGTAGGGAGATTTGCTGGCTGGAAGAGAAACCTGTTTTAAACTTAATGTTTTTCAGTTAGAGCATGTGTCCATTCCCTAATGCTTTACCCAATAATTCATGCATGTCTGTGGTTCATTCAAATGCAGCACCACCAGGTAATGCTGCGGCCCTTCCCTCTTGCCAGCAAAAGTGTTTCATGCGGGGGAGGGACAGATCAACTTCTGTCTGTCTGGACACTGTTTCGCTAAAGGGGCAGGACGCAAATGTTCCTGCTGTCATTCAGAGGAAATTGAGTCTGGCCATTTTCCGTTCGGTTCAAGGCTGTGGCAGCAAACGTCTGCTACCTTACTTTGTAATAATTATAATTATGTAATGTCTAACTTTGACAGACGGAATGGATCGGAGAAAGCCTCAGATGAATACATTTTTCGTGCAGACAGTCCTAACATCTTCACCACTATTCATTAAACTATGTAATTCTGCTACTCTTAGAACCTGAGGCCAGTCAGTGTACTGTATATTTGCATATGTGTGAAGAAGTAGTGTTTTTCTACGGAGCCACATGGGACAGAGCCCTGTCAGCACTGTGAGCCACAACTCCCAGCGCCTGCCTCACTGATGTCCCACGAGTCTGCCCAGTGGAGAAAGCTATCTGAATATTATGCTTTCCTCGCCGGCTCCATTCAGGACAAGTTGTTACTTTCTTGCCTCTTGCCCCATAAACCTCTCAACACCTGCACCTCAACAGCAAATAAGCCTCAGCGACATGAAGGCAACATTTATAATTATCCCCCGTTCGAATACTGTTGTAACAGGGTTTACAGCTGGTGATGCAGGCGCTCACAATCAAAACAAGATGCCGTCTTGACTCTGTCCCGACATAAAGTATTTAATAATGGGAGACCTGTCTGATATGCTGCAGTGTTTTTTTTATATGTTTATTAAAAGAAAACGTCTGTGTGAGCATCTGTGCAAGTTAACGGCTGAATAAGTGTTTTGTTTTCTGTCGCACAGCCAGATGTTTAAGATCTGATGCAGACTCTCTCCTGGCGGAGAGAGTAATTTTTCCAGCCTGATAGATTCATGAAAATATTTACCAGCAGTGGCACCAGGATTATATATTGGTCTAAGGAGCACGACTCCGTGGCAGACAATCTCACAGTTTCACACACTGTCCTGCTGCTAAATGCAGCACCTGCGACAGGGAGCACAGCTCTGGCGTGGCAAATTCTTACATAAACAGTTGTAGATGGGACAGGAACAGTGGCAGCTCTGTTCAACTGGATTATTAACGTGTTTACCAAACCACCAAACGGCAGCAAATCCACCAAGTGCTCCTCAGCTTTCAACTATGATTTGGCGGTAGGCGGCACCTGAGAGCTATAACTCCACTTTGCCCTAGTTTATGAGTAGCCATGCAGTGATTGGTCAAATAAAACTAGACCACATGTATCAACTAGAATTTGCAAGTTCGTTAAAAAAACAAACAAACAAAAAAAAAAACTGAATGGACATCTTTGACCACATTGTAAGGCTGTCGCTGCAGAACTAAAGAACAGCGGTTCATTTAAACATTACAAAACAAAAAATTAAGTGGACAATTAATGCAGATAATATGGTAGTGTTATTTGTAATGGCTGTCATTAAACAGATGCTTCAGTTTAAAGTGTAAGGTTTTCAAAGTTGGTTTAATGTTTATGATGCCATGTGGGCTTCATTGTTCAGTAATCCTGTAATTAGAACAACACCGGTGCATGAGACTAAAGTAAAGTACATCCTCACCTCAACGGCCATTATCTTTGGGTTTAATTGCAGGTTTTTCACTCTATCACTTTCACTGTCTGAAACATGAACTGCTGAGGTTGGGTTGAATAATCTGGATAATCTTTAGAATTCATTCAACAGTGAGGGTAGCAAACGTTTTGGTAAAATGGCTAAAATAATCTGTAAGACCATTCACTGGTAACTACCTAGCAAAATATTGAATTATTTCCTCAAGGGTTTGGCTCAGTGTTGTTGATTCTTTGATAAGATGTCAATCATATGTGAAAAACATATGTGAAGCTAGCAAAAATAGCTTCATTAATGGTGAATTAATTATTTGTCAGCGGTATTATAACATTTAAGTAGCAGTACTTGTTTAAACCAAACCCTTCAAGTGCCTCTTACTATACTGCTGTGTTATCTGCCCAGTTACTTCGGGTTCTACCCATATGTTGATTTCACTTTCTTGCCTGGATTTGAAATTTAAAATTCCAGATAAGATCTCTCTGTCAAAGCAACCGACGTCTCACCTGTTACTAAACCCTCATCATCCCATGCTGTTGCCCCGCCCTCAATTTTACTTATCACCACAGTTGTCAGTCTTCCTATCACTACCTGTCTCTGGCAACCTATTATCCATTATCTGTGCCTTTCCTCCCTGCTGTTTCTCCTCCCAGTTATCATCCCACTCCCCTCCATCTTCCATGTCAGCTGAAGCCTAGCCCTGCCCCCGATCCGTCTCTGTCTCCTTGCTTATTGACTGGAGAGGGCCAGTATCTGGCAATCCTCAACTTGTTATCATGCATTTCCTTAACCAACAGCGCTTATAATGTCAACACACACACTGTTATCACAACAATGAAAGTGTGGCAGCAGTTGCAGCCCTTCTTCACAAGGTGGTCTCAACAGATTACCTCCTCTGAAGACCTACCTTGGAGATGTCTGCTTCTGTAGTGGTCCTTTGGTTTAGTTGGGTGGGCCCTGGCGTTGCCATCGCACTTGGGTTGTTCGTATCTGTAACAGAAAGCACATTGCCTATTAATTCAAGTTTTAATTGGGTGAAAGAATTGTCTTTAAGATTGTTCTCATTGTTAGATCAGAGAGAAATCCCATGTTTTCCAATTATTCTCAAACAGTTAAATCTCTGGGCTTCAAATAATTGTTTTGTGGCAAACCAGAGGCTGTGAAAGACATCCAAAAGAAGGGAAAGATTTGCGGCTTGTGTGAGGACAGACGAGGGGTGGGGGGCGGCGGGTGATGAAAAAGTGTGAGATACAGGGAGAGCGGCAGACAGAGAGCGTGGGACACAAGGAAGCTTTCACGGCCTCCGTTGTTGTGGCGCTGGTTGAGTCCCAACTGCTGCTGTGTGAAGGGCGCAGAAGCAGGTCTGGGACAAGGAGAGGGAAGGGGGAAAGTCCACACTTCCATATGTGTGCTAATGTGGTGTCTGGCACACTGCCTGGAGACTTGTTAATCTGATATCCTGCCTCCCTTCTCAATGAGAGAGCAGCAGTGGCTCACTCTGCCAGTCTGACTGACCTCTGACCTGCTGCTTCTCAGACCGCTGAGTAACTTTGTCTCATCAGCACTGATGATGTGGCATCAGCAGTGGCTCATGCCAGACTTTGTGGTATTTTCTGAGCATCAAATACTGAGGCTCATTTACTCTGAATGAATGTGTGTCTTATTTTACCAACAGAATCGAAAACAACATCAGACCGGGAAGGAAATGACCACATTCAAGAACAAACAATGGACAAAACAAACAAGTTGCTAATAATCTAATAATCATCGTCTTTTATGAGTCAACCTTCTAGTTCATTTCCTACAAAACAAACAAGCGACTCATTTATTTGCTACACAAAACAGAGCAAACAACTACATTAAAAGTAGCAGAAGAGATAAATCCCTTAGTAACTGAATTTTCTCCCACCTGGTGGACGTGCCAGGTATGGGTCGTCCAGTGTCCACCAGTACACACCAACAGTAGCCAGTGGAAGGGTGGCATTGGACTGGTTTGTACAGCCCTCCCTGGGCACACTCTGGTATGAAGACAGCATCGTTCTTGTGCTGCTTTGACTCTTCCTGGGCAGACTGTCGCTCCTGGTCACATGATGATGCTGAAGAAATATGTCAGAGGTCAGACACACAAACAGCCTCCTGTACACGCACCTGAGCTCACACTCTTTTCATAAAAACCAGGTGTTAAATTAGATATCCTGATGTTGTCGTTTACATTGAAAAATCTGGCATTTTGACCTGGTTTTCTCTCACTTTGAATGCAAACTGGTTTTAGTTACAGTTATTATCACACAGCAGCAGCCCAGAGGTACAGGAAGAAAGATGAGTGTGGAGACAGTGTGTGTAGACTACAATATCAGCCCCCCGTGGCACTGTTTACAGACATTAACGGGTTAATGACTACGTAGCGCTCCCTATGCCCCAAGTTAAGTAAATATTTGGACAGTCAACTGCCCTCTGTGGATGAGTGTGACAGTGAAAGAAACAGACATGACAGAGGAAGAACAGTGGTCAGTCAGGCCTCTGCATTCACATAGTGACTCACTACTTAATAAGTACACATGGAAAAATAATTTGCCCAGTGATCTTCATCAGAAAGTTGAGGTTTTGCCTCAGCAGGATCTAATCAGAGGCTTTTTGTGTGTAGGAGTCTGAGATCCGGCACAGATTTAAGTACTAAACCCAGGGCCACAGAGTTTTAATTCCTCTTTTCACTGCTCGTCTAAACGCTCTGAAGCTACTGTGGGATTATAAATATCCGTTTTCTTTGTTTATTTTTATTGGATCTATTACTGACACAAAAGAGGGCAAATAAAACATTGTCCCACTCTGTCAAGTAACCCATTTCCCCCCAGCCCCTCCACATGGCTTCTCTTTGTTGTTTATTTCACACCAATACCCCAAAGAACCCCTGTTAATCAAATCCATCAATGCTGCATTTCTCAGGCTTTTTTATTGGTTGTAAATTATGATAATGGGATTCACACAAAAATGCACATATGCACACAGGCTTCTCGTCAGCCTTAATACGGCCTCAAAGTATTTCTCCAGTGTATATAAAAAAAAATAAAAAATCAGTTTATCTGTGCTACATAAGTGTGCATGTGTTTAGCAGAAGAGCAGAGTGGTGCAGCTAAAAGAATAGAACATCCTGTGTTTGTGCCATGTGCTGATAATTACAGATATGCTGCACTGCAGAGAACCACAGAGGAGCAGATCCTCAAAGCCATACTGCACCCCAACACCGAGATGCACTGGTTTCACAACCCACCATCTGTCCTTAAAAGACAGGAAAAGCCTCAAACCATGATTGCTCACACAAGCAGGAAAAACACAGAGCATGCTTTCAGTTGAGGTTTTCAAACACCCGATCGCCATCATTAAAGAAAAAAAAAAGATTTTTTTTTTTAACTCACATGGTGCTCTGGTTCTATTGTTCTGCCGGCTGCGAACCTGCTCCGTCCACAAAGTTGGGTACTGGGAAATGATGTCTAAAAAAAAAAACAAAACACACCAAGACAGCTTTATTAGCCTCAATTGGAAACACACTTGTTTATGTCTCAGCCAAACCTGCAGTTCCAAAACTCACAGATTGTAAAATGCACATCAAGATTATGTTGTTGGAGTGAATTTAAGAAGAAATGACACATGTCAGCAGTAAAAACAACATAACATACACTTTACATGTAGGTCCAAGTAATAGGGTTAACATCCTATCATAAAACACTTCAACAAAACAGAACACAGGGACTTGAACGCAACATCTGTTCGGTCCCATTGAAGTGATGTCTTTTCTTTATTTCATTAGGAACACAGGAAGTAGGTGGTTTTTAGCATCAATTGTTGGCACTTTACATTCAGGTTCATGGCTTTAATAGTGTCTATTGGGATATTAGTAAAACCTTCAGTCTAATCATTAGGTGGATTTCCACAGTAGTAACTGGTTAGAGCAAATATGTGTATTTTAAATGAAGGAACCATGAGCTGAACTGAGTTGTTTTGGCCACAAAATATAATTCTTCAGAGGTCAAAAGTAAGGAGTAGAAACTCCATATTTCCTGATATAATTTTTTCACTCCCTTTCGTTCACACGTGTAATACTCAGAAATTTCCAGGACGCCTTCTCACTGAGTTCATAATGTAATCCTGTAGCAATAATAAAACTTATTTTAAGTTTTGATTAAAATTTGATTTTTTATTCTTAGAACAATATGTGCCAAATATAGGGAGAGGATTAAAGGACAGTATGAGGAAAAGAATGACTGCTATTTTATTAATTAAATTTTATTAAACAATCTGAATTGTTGAATATGTTTCAAAGACATTTCACAACATTATGAGGAAAAATAAAATTAACCTAAATATTTTTATTGTGTTTCAGATTTCTAAATTGTTGTTTTACATCACATTATCAGTATCTATTTTGTTTTTAAAAATAAATACATAAAATACAAGTTTTTTGAAAGGTCTTTTCGAAGAGGTTTACTTTCAGCTTCTTGAGAACTCACCTTCTTCATCCACAGCAGGTTGAGGATCCACCACTAGGCCGGTCTCATCTGCATTTAGAATGGAGAATATTTGCAAGGAGACTACAATTACGAGAGTAAGCTAGATGACAGAATTCTTCACTATGTAAAATTTGCACATTGCCCGGCCAAGAAAGATGGAGACAGGAATGGAGCTGATGAGAAAAGTGTTGGAAGAGAGTGAGTAAAAGGTCAAAGTGGAGGAAAATCTGAAGTACAGTATAGTGGTCATATAGTCTGAAGACGTCTTTATGCTACAGGGGACATGAGACAGACAGTCAGTTATAATGAACATGGATTAGTTAAGGATCAGTTGTCCCCGCTGTTCTTCTCCATCCTTCCATTGCCTGTGTTTTAGTTGTGAAAGAAGTAGAGAGGCCAGAGACACACATGGGACAAAGACGGCAGTAGCCAAGTCTGAGACGAACAAATTAACAGTGGGAGAATCCAGCTCAGTGTTTGTTTGGCCTCTGTTTGTATGATTTGTGGTGGGAGGGAGATGGGGACTGAGGTTTTGAGCAGCTTAGGGTAAAACCACGGCCGTAGTTGTGGTTAACCTCAGTGTGGGTCACTCGCTCTACACAAAGTAAAGCTCTGTTGAGACATGAGTCAGGGAATCTCCAATGCAGTCGGTGGATTAAGCATAACTTTTTTTAAACAAAGAATTCTCCATTGCAAAATCAGGATTTTTCATTTAGCATGCGCTTGTTGGATAAGAGTATAGAAATGTGACTGTTGCACTCTGCTCCCTGTACGGATGGAAATACCATTTGAAGAAGTATATTTATGATTTGGATTTACTATAAACCACTAATGACCTCTCTTTACTGTGCTGCCTTTTACATGACTCTAACACCTCTTTTAGCATCTGCCAGGAAACCCCCACTCAATTTGTGGTGAAATGACATTAGTTTTATGGCCGTCAGTCGTCCACTGCAGAAGATTCCAGAATGTGGCTGAATTTGTCAACTTACACACCAGAAAGGCAGCCATGGTAGAACATTTTATGTCTAACTTCACCAAAATAAAATAATTTTAGTGCAGCCCTGGCACCAGAAAAATGTTGGACTTCTGCTCCATCCAGATATATTGATGCAGTATTCTCAGTGCAGTTTATTCCACTTTTTACTCCGCGTGTATACCACCAGTTCAGATTGAACCACAGCCCTCCCTCCCCCTCCTCTTTCTGTTCGTATTCCTTCTACCACCAATCTTACCCCTCTCTCAAATCGTAACATTCCCCCTTGATCTATGTGTAATGAGTTGGCCGGACTCAGACACACACCATATCCAAGAGACTGTTTACAGAGGCAAAGGCGCAGATACAAATGTGACACTGACAGGAAAAACCTATGTGACAAACACACAAGAGGATGAATACAGTCTTTCTCTCAGGCTCTGTTGTCTTCAAACACAAAACACACACACGCACACACACACATATGCACAAATTACCGCATAAGGAATTGATCTGAATCCAACCTAATTACCCTCCTTTTTTCTTACTAAGCCTTCAAATCACATCAGTTAAACAAACAATCTCTTAAGAACTGGGAACAAGAGATACAGCATGTCAGGGGGGAAATTCTAGTGGTTCTGTGTCTGAAAAAGGTATGTGT